TAATAATCTGTATCAGAATTATGTGCTAAATTATATATTAGAGCAAAAAATAAAAATACTTTTCTCAACCTGGAGATATTTTACCATACTAATATGTTATTCAAGTAAATGAAAAAATATAAATGGAAGGAACTATTTTGCCTGAATCTTGTATTCAATTTTTTAAAATGTAGAGTTGAATCTGCTGAATTGGTTAGTTTATCAAGGTATCTTCATTTTATGTCATTTCATTTAACATAGGACTCTTTAATTGCCATGGAAGATACCCATGTAAGTTTTTTGTTTGTACGATAATAGCCAAATTGTCATATTTATTATTCTACTTGGCATGACTAGCTAAAAAGTCATGTATTTGTCAAGAAGTATCTAGCATTAGGAGACAGTAGAAACAGAGTTCCAAAGGTTACCAGTCCACAGGATCCTTCTTCGTTGCCCCTTCTCCCCCTTGTAAATAAAAGCTCAGAAACTTCAAAGGAACATTGTCAAAGTGCTTTGCATAGTTCCTTCCTGCTGAAATTGCCAAATTTTATTACGTGACATAATTATCCTGCCAGTTTATGTTCTGTAATAATTGCCATACCTTAAAGCATTCCCGTTTTCAAATGTTTCCTTCGTGTCCTTTTCCATACATTTCCATGAGCAGAGATAAGGGCTAACCTACTAAGATGCAGCTAATATTTTAGATATTTTGAATTTGGTGTTTGCTTTTATGAAAGGATAAAAATAACACGAATAAATCACCAGCAGGGAATACAAATCACCTCTCTCCCCCGCTAAAGTTAGGTCTCCAGCGAGTGCCGTGGGGTGCCGGCCATCTACAACATCCACATTTCCTTGGCTGGTAGGATGAGGTACAATCCCATTACTTCTGGGTGAAAGATTCTATTTATTGGATATTTTTCTCCAAATAAGCATCAAAATAGTGAACAAGTTCAACTTAACCCAGAAATCCACTTTATTATTATCTTCATAAAAGGGCCTTTTAAGTTAAAAGTTTTTAGTGCTTTGTTTGGCTGTTTGAATAATGGTTTTATGCTGTTCTAATTGTAGACATTGTCCTACGTCTACCAGAAATAGAAATGTAAAATTAAAATATTTGTCATAATGCCCCTGCTGTGCAGAAGGGCTGATAATCCTTTTGTATGCTTCTTTAATTTTATTGTAAAATATATAATGACTTTTACCTGTTTGCTGTGGGCAGGTCCTCAGCGAAGTGGTTTCTATCGAGTCGATCTCTAGGATTAACAAGCTCTTGCTTGCTGTTTAAGTGTATCCGGCAGCCAATGGGGAAAGGGAGACACTGGAGCCAGCAGCTACCAGTTGTGGCATGTGATAGCAAAGCTGTGCTTCACTTACTCCTGTGAAGATTTCCTGTTGGTACCAATGGTACTGTACCAAGTGAGTGTTCTGGCCACAACATTCTCTCGAAAGAATTCTGTCAAGAAGTGAGGAAGGGCTGACAGGCATTTTCTTATTGCTCCTAAACTTTTTTGTGTAAAAATAAATACTAGTTTTGCAATATAAAGATCTGAGGTAAAGCATTTTAATGCATTCTATACCAAAAATGCCTTACATTGACTTACTGAACTTCAAAGAAATAACTAATTGCAATGATCATGTATCATATCAATAGAAAAACTCACTTGAAGAATTAAATTGAGTAAGATGACATATTTGTCTTTTCAAAATTAGTAATTTTAGTAAATTCTTTTTCATGAGTAAGTCCAAAAAAACAATTGATTTCTCAATATCCAACTAATACAAAAAAAAAGCTAAATGTTTCTAGACCTTCTAACTCTTGGCAGTGTAACTTCTAAGGTCCATTTCCATTTGCACAGAGAGTTTCCATCTTAGGGAGCTGAAAACAGAATACTGTGGATGCTGTGAGTGAGTGTCGTATGTGTAAATAGACAATCAGTAAGCTGCCTGTTGAGCGGTAGAGCTGGATGCTTGCCCGGAAGGGGACACTGTGGTTCTGACTTGTACTATAAAGTTAATGTAGTTAATAAAGTAAGTTGTTATTTTTATAACCATGATGATATTATTCTTAATAATAATAAAATATTTTATCAAAATGCTTCATTTGTCCTTTTTAATTACATGCAAGAACGTATTTCTGTCTGTTCTAGGATGGACAGAAATCTAGGTGTGTAATTTAGATATTTTGAATTTGGTGGTTGCTGTTTTATGAAAACAGCAAACACTGAATTCAGAAAACAGAAACAAAATAGATTCAGAAAATACAAACAACATCGATTTCATGGACAGAAATGTCATGTACTTAGGTGCAGAAAATAGCGTATAATTATTTATAGAACTGAGAAAAAATTTATTTTACTCCAGCTTTTATTCATTGTAATATCAGTGATTTTGATTAATCCCATAATTTGGTTTCTCTAATTATAAAATACACTTAGTCATTCATCCTCTTTGCCAGACTGATGCTACCTTATGATTTTCTACTACCCACAAAATATCCTTATGAATGACCACTTAGTTTATTTACCATGTGACTGTATGTTACAAACATGATTTAAAATTACTCCATTAGTCAGTTTTAGAGATTTTTTTCAAAACATGCAAGAAATACAGAATGAATATAAATAAATGGTGCCTCACTTTTCTCCTGTTATTGGCACAAAATACACAACACCCAAAATTAAGGAAAGAAAGGTTTATTTGGCTCATAGTTAGCAGAGGTTTCAGTCCCTACTCTGCTGGCTCCAAGGAAGAGCAGCACATGGAGGAGGGCAGCAGTTCATGGTGGCAGAAAGCAGCAGGAGCAAAGGGAGGCGCAGCAGCTGCAGCAGCTAGCAAGCCTGTCTCCCTTTCTTCTATTGTATTCAGGCTATCTGCCTGGGGGGCGGGATGTAGCACTCACTCCCATAATCCCAGCATTGGATCATGAATTAATCACCAACTCTAGAAGCCACCCTATCACTGCATGAGGCTTTAGGGGGACAACTAGACACCCTAAAAAGTGAATTCATTTACTTCATATTGGAAAGACTACTAGACTACTAGTGTTGTAACCATCAGGAACTCTGTAATACATTTCATTTCTCAAATAGTGTCACAGCTTCTCATGCCCAACAAGGTATCTTACTAGTTGCTCTGGCATAAACACTGATGAAGAGACAACTCATGTATCTACATATGTGGCCCCTGAAACATGCTTGATTTTAAAATGATTTTCATTGAAACAGAAGTCACTCACTCACTTATGGTCCCACTGAGAACATTGAAAATATACACACTGGCAATTTCTTTAAGTTTTGAGGTTGTCTTTTCCTAGACCTCCATTTTATTTTGTTTTGATTTTAAGTAAAATCACCAGCAAACCTCTAGAGGCAGGTATTTGGGTACCCTAATTCTGAAGCAGGAGTACACACGTAGAATCCTGGCTTAAGAGAAAAATGCTTGGGCAATTGTTGTTGGTTTCCTGATGCTGTTCATGTGTGGCTCTCTTCTCGTCCATCTTTTCCAGCATCTGTGAAGAGTCGCGGTGGTCTGCCTTTGCTCCTATTTTCTGTCCAGTTCTATCACTGCTGTTTCTTTCCTCCCCTGTGTGGGTACACCCTACCTCATATAACCATAAGGGAGCTTTCTACCTCTCTTCTGCCAAATTTCAAGCCTTGTTTATTAAAGTAGCATTAAAGGTTTTATGGCAAATAACCCGCATCTCTGTTTTGCCATTTTTATCTGCAAATATCACAGTGGCAATATTATTTTTGAAATTTGAAATATGAAGACAACTTCAAGGTAAAAGGTGCATTTGCAGTTCCAGAGCAAACATGACAGTGTTGTGACTTATTGCTAGAGTGTCTAACACGACAGATGACCTTGCAAACGAGAGAAATTCAGTCTCATATCACATGATTGAAAAGAAGTACCATAGGACAGATTATTTGCATGCGTACTTATGCTTTAAAACTGATAACAATTTAAAAACAAAAGCAAACCATGAATCGGACAGACAGTGCAACTCCCAAGTGGACGTGACGGGGTTCAGTACTCCCGAGCGCTCTCCACTGTGCCCAACACATCTGAGCACCTCTTCCTGCACCAGCCTCCCACTTGTGTCCATTCCATGGTGCACTTGGGGCCTTCCAATCTCAGGAATTCCTTGGATGGCCATCCATCACGTGCTACCCAGAAATACCCCTACTTCAGCCAGCCTACGTACTGGGGGTTGGAAGTGCTTCCTTTCTGCACAGCAAATAATTCACATATGACTGTGTTGGCAAATTACCCTTCACTTTACTGACTTGCCTACATACTTAGTCTGCTTACTTGGAGGCCTGTGCTCTGCACATAGGGCCTTGGGTATGCTGGGCAATTGCTGTACCACTATGCTATAAGCCTTTCTTGCTTCATTTATTATAAGTGTTGAGACAGGGTCTTGCTAAATCACCCAAGCTTCTCTTGAGCTTGGCATCCTTTTGCCTTGCTCTCCTGAGTCACTGAGATTACAGCTGTGTGGGGGCCTGCCCAGCCCCCTGAGCTCAGTTTTCATGCATAATCAGCTCCACTCTGAGGGTCCTGATGATAGCAGAGTCACCTTTCTTACTGATTCACACATGATGGTCACAAGTGTACTTTATAAGTGTTCTCTTCACAGTGTTATGGAGAGATTTTCAGTTCAGAAGATATTGTGCAGCTGCCACTGAAGACTAGACAGTGTAAGCATTTCTAGTGAGCTGCACTTTTAGGTTTGAATTAGGAGGTGAGGATCTCTTCAACAGATATATTTTATTTCATACACTGTGCTTGATGATGCATCTAGAACAGCTCGAGAGCGTAATACAAGTGAAGTGAGTCGGACACAGAAGCACAAATACTGCTCAGTGTCTCTTGCATGAAAAACGCTAGTCATGGAGAGAGAGAGAGAGAG